TTATTATTATTAATAATGTTATTATTATAATTAATTAGTATTAAAGCGATGATAAATCAATAATGATATAAGAAAAAAGATGAGAAAAAAAGAAAACAAAAAGAGAAAAAAAAAAAAAAGGAACATATTATACAAAAGCAACACACGCTCTGTGTCTCATGATATGTAATTAATAATAACAATTTTACGAATTGTATCGACGATAAACAAAATGGAGGAATAATATAGTAAGAGTAAAAGAAAGAGGAAGAATAAGAAGAAGAAGTTAGAACGTGGATAAATTATTTTATCGATTGGTGCTCTCGCACGACATACTTAAATAAATTCGGCTGCTCATCGCATAAAATCAATTTTTCATTCCCTATAATCGCAGTGCAATATAATATAATAAAAAAAAACTGAAAGAAAAAAAGAAAAATAATTAATAAAAAACTGATCCACACATAATATATATATATACATATATATATAGATACATATATATATATATATACACATACTTCACACACATTTTTTTTTTTCTTTAATATTTCTTTTCTTAAATTAATAATTATTTATACGCGTATATATGTATTATTGTTGTATGTATGAAGATGTACGTGCGAGAATAAACGAAAACACATATCACGAGGTACGTTAAAATAATACATAGAAAGAAATAACAAAACAAAAATAAGGGACGACAATTTATTATTCGAAAGGCTGGTTCTCTCTCATCTGATTTATACATAAATATATATATATATATATATTTCTGTGTATATATATATATATACATAACTTAAAAAAATATGTATCTATCCGGTTTCATCGGTTCAATTCATCCACACCCACCCACCCCCTTTTACAATTAGTCTGTAATATATAGAGATTTTTCGAGTCATCACGAATGAAATAACGAATGAAATCATCGTTTTAATCGAAATTTTTAAATAAAAGATACGTGTTTATAATAATAATAATAATTATTATGTACACGGGATTTAAATTTATACATTAGAAATATCTTTTTATATGTATACAAAATTTGGATTATTTTATTTCTTTTTTTCTACTATTTCTTATCTTATTTTCTTTTTTGTATTAATGCACAAAGTTGCACGAAAGAAAAATGCAAAAACAATTTATGTCTTCGCAAGTTTTATTCGTTATTACGTCTTCTCTTTTGAGAAACCCTTCCAA